GGAGATGATAACCTAAAAGCCCTTCCCCTAAAATGAGATTGATGACTTCTCTTTATGCCATCCTAGAGCCCTCATCCAGTGGCTGATGACATCCACAGATATACACTGAGCTGAAATCGGGAATTTAGTTGAAGAGAGGGAGGAATGAAGAGCGAAGGGGTCTGTACCAGGTTGGAGAAAACCACAGGAACAGTTGGCCTGAACAAGGGAGAGCACATCGACCCCAGATGCTGTCTGGGAGGCCAGTACAAGGATGATCCAGACCCCTGAACATGGATGTCAATAATGAGGCCTCTGCACTCCAGGGAGCCTCTGGAGGTGGATTAGTATTTTTCCCTGGTGCAAGAAGGGACTTTGAGAGCCCACCCCACATGAAGTGTTACACTCTGCAACTGGACACATGGGGAAGGGCCCAGGCCCAGCACAGGAAGATTTGGTGGACTTTGCAGAGCCCCCGTTGAGGGTCCTACCCTGCCTAGGGAGTGGTGGGTGGATGGGGTAGTGGGTAGGTTGGGGGTGAGGGGAGGGAGAGGGAGAAGGGACTTACATGTGAAACACGCTTGTTCCCTAACTAGAACTAATAAATAAATTTAAGAAACAAGAACAGTATGTTAAAGAGAGATGCTCAGCATGAAGTCCTTCCTCCTCATGACCTGCAATCAGTTAAGACACTGAAATCTGAACTTTCTCAAATATAACAGATGTACCTCATAACTTCACCCTAAGTATTTCCTCTAATAAAGTAATGGACAATAATATAAGTTAGAGATAATCATTTGGTCCTTGGCAATTTATTGTGAGTGTTTCTATTCACCATGAAATTTTATCCCTATGACAATACACAGTGGTCATAAATTCACCCTAAGTATTTCCTCTAATAAAGTAATGGACAATAAGTTAGAGATAATCATTTGGTCCTTGGCAATTTATTATGAGTGTTTCTATTCACCATGAAATTTTATCCCTATGACAATACCTAGTGGTCATAAAATAATTGGTATCAGTAATAGATGAACAAACAGGCTTTGGAAAAGCTGATGTGACCAAGGTAACAGAAGTGCTGCTGAAACTGGACACATGGTGCTGCTGGTTTGTCTCTCATGTATCACTCAAAAGCCCTACGTTAAAGACACAGTTTGCCAGTCTGTGGTGCTAACAGCAGGTATGCGGTGAAGCCTAGTGTGAAGACAGGTCATTGAAGGCATGCCTCCAAAATCAATTTTGGTTGGACTCTAGCTTTTTCCTCCTTCTCTTTGTTTCCAGGCTTCTATAAACTAAGCAACTTTAGCCCATCGCATATTCCTTGCCATAATGCTGGGTCCTGCTATAAGCCCTACAGGCATGTCCAACCCTTTGACACTGCAGTGCCTACAAAGTTGACACCAGAGAACCACACAATTGAGTTGTTCAAACACACACACACACACACACACACACACACACACACTCACACACACACACACACACACACACACACCCTTCAAATGTTTTAAATAGTTTGATTTTGTATTGAGCCATACACATAGATAGCTATTCTGGATTGTTGATCAGACACTTGTATCTGTAACAATGGAACCAAGCTATCATGGATAGTAACCTCTGGAACAATTGTTTAAAATAAAGCTTTCCTCCTTTAGGTTGTTACCTCAGATATTTTGTCATGACCAATACAAATGGCCTGAAAGCATTTTTTTTTGTCAGGGAATAGGAATCAAACCTAGGGCCTCATGTTCTTGGATAATAACTGCTCTATTAGGGAGCTATGCTTCCAGCTCCCAAACCCTTTGTTATCAGTTACTTAAAATATTATTTAGTAATACATTTAAATGGCTGAAAATCTTCTAAAAACAGAAAGCCAAAGTCCTTTTACCTTTTCCCATCTCGGCCCTCTGTGCTGCTGCTGTGGTATTTTGAAGGATGCTTACATTCTGTTCTGTAATCCTCATTAACTATTCTATCTGTTCCCTATAGACTGTTAAGAAAGCTAAAATCTGGCAATGTTGGCAATACTTTATGTAAGTACCAATCACTGCAGGACAGCCACAGAAGTGCTATTTCCTTCCCTGTGGATCTAATGACATAACTCATGTGTTACTTGGAGGAAATAATTTCAGTCTTAGAGTGAAATGGATTCTGTCTATATTCTTCCAATTGGTCATCATCACATTACCCTTTTTAGAATGTATCATGTTTAGTCTGTGATGGTTTGAATGAGAAATGTCCCCCAAAAGCTCATACATTTGAATACTTGATCCCTCAGTGGTGATGCTATTTGGGGAGGTTATAGGAGGTGAAACTTTGTTAGAGGAAGTATTTTATTCCTTGCTTGCTTTTATCCTTCTCACTCCCTCCCTGTCCTTCCTATGTGCTAATGAAAATGTGATCAGCTAGCTTTTTCCTCTTGCTGCAAGACATGCCTTCCCCAACATGAAGGAAACTATCCTTCTAAAACCATTAGACCAAATGAAGTCTTTCTTTCTTAAGTTGGTTTTGGTCATGGTACTTGATCACAACAAAAAAGTAACAGTACATACAGTGCATGGATCTCTTCCAGGCTGTGTATTTTTCCTATTGTGTCCAATTACTTTTCTCTTGAGTATCATCACTGTATCACCAAGATCTTCCAGCTTCTTCATTTGCATGGTATCCATGCTATTCTTTAGGAATTTTCAAATCAGATTAAGCTGCTTTTTAAACATGCTACATGGCCATCTCTGGGCTTCCACAATGTCTCATGTATCTTTTCCATCTATGTTATACAACCCATTGACCCAGTTATATAACCTACCTTATTAAAGTGTGCACGGGACACACATCTCTGAATCCTGATAACCCTGTCTCAGTTGAGGGCTTAGCTAGATATCGAATTTGGGGTTTAAAATCATTGTCAGAATTTGGTAAAGAGAGGCATATTCTGAGCAAGTACAGCAGAGAAATTCAACACCAATTAGGTGTTGTTCATAGTACTGGCTTTTGCCAAAGTCAGACACACCATGGTTGTGATTTTGTTTAGGAATTAAGTTTAGAACTTAAAGTAGATAATGTTCCTTTTCCTTTGAACATTGCCCATAGTGAGATGGCTGACTTGGGAGTTTTTAAAACCTGATCAGGATTCCACTGGCTTTAGAATATGCCCTTATTAAGGTAGACTATGACCAGAGAGGCCTTCAAATGCTAAAATGAAGAAGGCTTTACTCTGGAGCAATATTATTCATATAACCTGCCTGGTAAGTTGTTCTGGAACAGCATCCACTCACTTTGCTGTCGGGAGCAGAGCCTAGACCTAGTAAAGCTAGTCCCTGTCATCTCTGCAGGCTTCTTTTCTATGAGCTTTCAGCTAACTAATCTCTCTCCTTTAGTTTCCTTTCTGTTCTAGCTGTTTGCACCACTAACCACTGCTCCCAGAGTCCCTCTCCAGTCCAACTGGAAAAATGGTTGCCGTCTCTGCAGCAGCCTACTCCGTTTTGGTTGGTCCTGCCCTGTCCTATCAGTCAGCATACTTCTATCAGGCTATATTCTTCCAGGAGTTGGCACTAGTGTGTTTCCAGGACTCAGTGTCTGTGTCTCTCTCAATTCACACCTCAAAACTTAATTCCTAAAGTGATGGTACTTAGAGGTGGCCCTTTGGGACTTGATTATTCATGAGAGTGGAGTCTCATGAATGGGATTAGTGTTCTAAAAAGACCCCAGAGGTCTTTGGCCCCTTCCTACATGTAAAGGCACAACAAGAAGTCATCTGTAAGTCAGAAAGTAGGCCCTCAGCAGACAACAATCTTGTACTTTCCAGGTTCTAGACCCATGAGAAACAAATGTCTGTTATTTAGTCCATCCAGTCTCTGATGGTTTTGCTTAGCAGCCTGAAGGGACTAATACAGTGGTCCACTTATAACCTCCTTGGCTTCTTTTGCTGTTTTTATGGGATTCTTTTATTGTGGTTGTAATGGGGCCTGAGAAGCAAGCTGAGTACTTAGTCTATCTTGTGGCAAAGTGCATCATTAGTTATATAAACAGCCTGAGAATTCAATTCAACCTTTTCAGTACAAATCTCAAGGAAATGAAAAACATTTTACAGTTTGTTTTCTTCTTTTAAGTTTAAACAATATTCTCTAGGAGTCATCTAAAGGTTTGCTCAATTATGTGTACTTTTCTTTGGGAGTATTACAGTTGACATTTCTTTTCTTCCTTTTAAAACCACGTAAAATGCTTTTGGCTATGATTCTTCTCTTATCCTGGGTCTAGTGGCTATAGTGGATGATTACTAGAGGTTTGTTCGCTTTCTAAAATAAGATGAACAAAATATGAATATTCCCTCTAATAGTACAGTTTGAAAAGTCAGTGGAAAAAAATGGGCTGAGTTTTTCATGCTTCAGACTCAAGACTGTGCAAAACAGACTTTATAATAATAGAGTCTGTTTTGCACAGTCATTGCCTGAAACACCATTAGTTGAAGCAGCACTTAATAAATGTCAACAGAACTCTATACAGACATAAAGAATTTTACTTTCAGATAACTTTCCTGTAAGAATAAAAAGTGGGAACTGGAGTCCAAGTAGAAAGAAACAAATACATAAGAATAGGGAGCAGTACAAGATTAAAGCCTGAAGTAAGTGGAAAAGGCTAATGAACACAAGATACACTGCACATTCCTATCTAAAAGTGACTTATAATAATATTCCCAGTTGACTAAAAGTATAGGAACCATTTTGAAAGAACATAAAGATGGAAACACAGCACCATGTTAGGATCTCTTGGAAAGACAGCTCGGATATAATCAGCAATTTATAAGTCACCTTCTTTGTAATTAACATTTGTAATACTTTTTCTTGTCTATGGCCATCCTGCCCTGACCCTGTCTGATCTCATCTACAATGCTTTGTCTTTTACCATTGAATTCTTCCACTTCCAGCTCTGGAGCTACCAGGTAATACTGTTCACAGAGTAGCTTAGCTGTTTCATATGCATCTGTAAGAAAGAAAAATTTAATTGTTGCATTAATTACACAGAAATAAGCATGTGGGTGTGTATAGATAAAGTCAATTTGTCTAAACTGACTTTAAATGAATCAGATACTATCTTTTAAAGCAGTCTTTTGGCTTCAACACATTACTAAGAGTAAAATATTTCTCTTTCCTAAGTTTTAACAACCATAGCCATATCAAAATCATAAACTAATAACAATAAAGCTAGGTTTATGCCAAGCACACAGCTGTTTAACTTTTAAATGCTGATAAAAGACATTTTTCATCAAAATTTGTAAACTCAGGACTATACTTCTGAACATCACAAAATCTGATTAACTTGTAGCAAAACAATACTTTCTGTAATTTAAAAAACTGACAATAGTCAGTCCTGGAGAGATCTGTGACCTGCTGCTGACCTGGTTCAGCAATTTAAAGTACTTTCTGCTCCTTACAGAGGGTCCCTGTTCAATTACCAGCATCCACACACTGGTTCATAGCCATCCATAATCCAAGTTCCATGGGAATTTGATGCCCTCTATGGCCTCTGTATGTACCAGGCATGTACATGGTACACATACATACACACATGAAGGCAAATCACTCATACACATAAAATAAATCTTGAAAAAACTGTCAACAGCCATGATTTTCTAGGTATTGGCAAATGAAACATCAATAAGAAGTTATTGAGTAAATAGGTTTTCATGAAACATCTGCTGCCTTAAATTGGTTAAAGGTCTAAAGTGCAAGGGTTTGCTTTTCAACAGGGGAAAATAGACATAAGGTAAGAAACTCAAGTTCATTACAAAAAGCTAAAAGGTAAGGAATAAATTAAAGTAAAAGTGCCTGGTGAAGGCAAATGGATGGAACTAGAAGAAACCATCCTGAGTGAGGTAACCCAGTAACAAAAAGACAAACATGGTATGTACTCACTCATATATGAATTTTAGACATAGAGCAAAGGATTACCAG